CGCACAGTTATTCCCCTGTCCTGTCTTAGAGAGCTGATTTCAGAGTGAACACCTGCTAAATTCTCCACAACCACTGCTTTTGATAAAGCGGAACGATGGACACGGGAATGCTCAAATGAGACAAGGCAACCGGTTTGGGGAGCTAGATCTTCGTGTTCAAGTTTAATCGTCTCATGGGAATTTGCCACTTCTTGTGCTATAACGGAGTCTGGCTGATCGACGTCACCGTTCAAATGAAGATCCTCAGACTCCGTAGCTTCATTAGATTCTCCATGAACAGAGGACTCATCAACATCACAAGAAGACTCAATCGCGATGTGTTCATAATTAATCCCGGCCCCAACACCACAATTGACTACCAGTACCCTCTTAGGAGCTCTGCTTATCGCAGGTATTTCCCTATGCAAACTATGAGCGGCTACGTTGATTGTACCGCTGTTCTGATGACGTGGAGAGCAATGATGATGCCTGATGGGATATTGCGGTGCACTATAATGTGATTGGTTTGAATGCAAATTGGGTTGATGTTGGCAAGGTTGGAGGTGGTAATGGTAATTATAGGCTCCATGGAATGATCCGGAAGTGGCCGACTCTTGGCGCGCCCCAACTACTGACGAATTGATATGATTGTTTTGACTCTGCAAACACCCTGGGGGCCACAGGCGCGGGATACCACCAGGAGTGTGGCTGTAGGACAAATGCTGATTACTATGCAGAGACGGTTGTTGGAGAAGACTTGACGAAACCTGTACTGATGGGCTAGGTTGGTGAGTGGGTACTATCATAGGAAAGTTTGATGGCTGGTTAGTGAAACCAGAGGACATCAAGCCAATTGGGCGAGTCTGTAGTGGTTGCCCATGAGTCGAGGCAGCAGTCACTTTATTCTGAGTGACCCCTAATGGTACCAATAGGGGAAAACAGAGTCCGCCGTTTGAAGAAGCGGGTAAGTGATGCTGTTGGGAAGACTGATGATTATGTTGCTGAATACTAGAATCAAGAATTGTTGAAACACTCAGAGAATTTGATTGGGATTGGTGCAGTTGGCGTTGCTGTAAGAAATTATATGGCTGAGTTTCGTTGGAAGCAGGGATCAAATTCTGCTGTGGAGACGTTCCCGTATGTGATCTTATAGAAGATCCGGGCACATCTAATTGAGGAAAGAAAAAGGTGAATAAAAAAGCATGATTAATTCTTCTGAGTTATGACAAGGATAGTTTAGTATAAGGCTTACCAAATAACAGTGGCGAATGATTAGAATTACCTCCGACAAGGGGAAGAAAGGAGCCGTTTTGAATTTGAGCCTGAGGAATGATTTGAGGGAGCCTAGATTGAGTATTGGAAAGAGATAAAAGAGGATAACCGGGTACAACCGGGTGTACTCCAGCTATAGGATAGTTGCATTGAGAAAGATAAGGAAGATTGGCCTGTTGCTGGGTCCCAGTATTAGAATGCTGCTGAAACCCAGGAGTTACATAAAAATCAAGAGGAGAAACCTGGACGGAAGCGAGCTGTTGAATATTCGGGCTCGCAGTTAGGCAGGGCGAAGTTACAGCAGTCATCATTGCAGAAGGGGTCCCCGAAGCTGATGACAGTGAGTGCGCAGCAATAGGATTAGTGGAAGTCAAAGAAGATAAACAAGGCTGTGGCTTCTGACCAACCAAGGAAGGATAAATACTAGGAGGGAGAAACGTGTTAGGATCAATCATTCCAGAGCCAGTAAATGCATAATCTGAATGTACACTACCGGAAGAAAAGCCCATAGATGCCTGAGGAGTAGCCCCAGCTGCTAATGCAACTCCAGAGGGATAGGAAACATTGGCTGGACCCTGGACCGGAGGCATATAAAAATGTAAAGAGTAGGGGCTTATGCCAGATGAGCCCGTTGACACATGTGCGTATGCAACGTTCGTATCAGAAGGATTTGAAGTGACCGGAATAGGAGCAGAAGAGAGGGTGCTTGACATAGACGCTGCAGCTGAGTGCGAGTTATTGAGAAGAGCTACAGAGGTTTGAGGTGAAACATTCGGAACAAGAAGAAGCCCCGGTGGGCCAGGAATAGTATGCTGCTGCACAGTATGCGGAGGATTACTATCGCAGTTAGAATGGAGCTGTGGAAAGTTATTAATACGAGACGACTGCGGTATAGTGACTGGGTGATGGGAAGCAGATGGCAAATGATGGACCAACCCTGGATTTAGACCCATGGCTGCAGCATAATGGGAAGCGAAAGCAGTAGCAGATGACCTTGAGTATTCAGGATTGGAAAATAGAGGGTAGCGATGTAGAAGCATGGCAGCAACCGATGGATCACTTATCCAAGAAGGGACGGCGCTTGGCATTTGTGTTACAGAGTTGTAGATATAATGTGGAGGTACAAAGGTTGATTGAGTCTGATGCGGAACTACGCCAACGGAGGCAGACACAGGAACTCGCTGCTGCTGTTGATAGACAGCAGCCGCCACATTTAATCCATTCGTGTAAATATTTAAGGTTTTGGAGAAATCCAGAGCTGTGGAGGAAAAAGAGTGCATAATAAAAGTGGCAAAAAGGCAAATAAGATGCTAATGCCACTTACGGCGGGGCTTGGGGTCTCTGTGGACAGCTATTCTGACATCACACTAGAAAGAATTGGTCGTTAATACGTAAAAATACCATTCTTCCTTGAATTTCTTGTTGATCTTTAGAGGCTGCTCGCTTTGCATCATCCTCGGAGGCAAATGTAATAAAAGCAAATTCTTTTCGCCTTCCGCGAGGGCCATCATACGGTAGATCTATTGACTCGACCTGGAGTAACGAAAAATGCAAGTACCCTTCCAAACTTAGAGAAATGATTGGTAATAACATGCTCCAAGGTATTAGGATCAAGACCGCCAACAAAAACTTTCCTTTGCTGATCCCGAGTGGGCTTGGCAACCTTAGGATCAATTTTTCTATTATTTAGACGGTGGCTATTAATGGCAAGAACCTAGCCCAAAGTTTATGATAACAGAGTATACCTTATCAATAGCGTCATCTGTGGAAAATATAACAAAACCAAACCCTCTGGGTTGCCCTGTTGTCTTATCTATCTTTATAGTGCAGGATTTAACAATGCCAAATTGACTGAAATAATCTGAAAGATCTCCTAATATTCAGAGAATATATGAACTCTAAACTACTTTCAGATATTTCCCATCCAAGTCCTCCAACAAAAATTTTCCTTTAGAATAAAGTTATATTTTGTTACTTGTTACCTGTTATCATCCCTTGAGGCATCAGTTAAATTCAGTTGTTCGATATGTGTAGAAAGGTCATTTGAAGATGACTCGTTAAACAGAGGTTTGGCTTCGTTGTCTTCAGACAGAGAATGGGTGGAGCCAGACACAACGGACATAACAGTGTCACACATCAACGCCCGAAAACGAAAGAACGGCTGATAAAAACCCCGCTACCTAGCTCAATACAAGATAAGTACATTTATTTTCTGAGTTATAATTAAGTAAAAATAGTAATCAATCATATAGATTAGCCTATTCATTAGGCAGTTGCAATTTCTACGATACTATAAAAGATATGCAAAAACATTTATATTATAGTATTGAGATAAGCGTGAAAATAAAATTTCTCAATTTCAAATAAGTAAGCGACAATAAGTTTGAGTTGTAAGCAATATCGATAATTTCATTAGCGAATTTGGATACAATGTAATTGATGACTTAATTGGATCGAGAAATTTATTTGTATATGCATACAATTGAAAAATGCAAGAAAGTCTTAACCAGAACCGTATTAGCACTATCATCCTTAAAAGTTAAACAGCATATTAATGTGAATCATGCGTCATCATCTCGTGAGACCGACCGAAAAGATCTTCACCAACTGTTGCCCAGAATGAAAACCTACTTAATACATAACATTTATACACAATACAATTTATAGAAGTGGTTCTATACGTTCAGGTACCTTACTATCTATCTTACCCATAGAATACTTTAAGGAGTAAAGTTTCAGGTCTGCTAAATTCACTCTCTTACGCTTTGATATTCCTGGTTTATAAACTCCTATCCTTCTGCTTCATTTTTCATATCAATGAATATTTTATTGAAGGTGTAAAGACCAAGATGGTGTGGCCTATTGTGTGGCCTCAGTCTCCTTTCGTTGTATAGAAGTTGTTTGACCTTGTTTTCGCAACTCTGTCATATTGGTAAGAAGACTTAAAGGAACGCACCTAGTCCGGAAACCATTGTATGCATCATCATTTCTAGACTAAGACCGTGGACGTGGTACATTCCCAGACGTTTCGCCGGCATCGTAGTTGGCATCGTCAGTGAGTCTCGCCACTCGTAGCACCATATTACAAACTCGTCAAAGGGACAAGTGAAGCCCATCCTTTGACCAAACGTGTGCTAAACAGTTATGGTATTTCGCCTTCTGCCCTGGCCTATTCACATTTCCTATATCCTCCTAGCATGCATTCCCTGTCACAGTTTTTACCGTGCTTATTCTTAATGTAGAGTTGTGTGCTCTTTCGAGTGGCATTCATAAAAAGAGTTTCACACTCCACACTGTCGTTATCAACCCCTTCATCTTTGTGCTGGGAATGTTGACCAGAGTCTGTCATATTGTTACGTAGTTTTTCCCAATGTCTTATCAAAGTCTCGCTCATGACTTGTCTAATCTCATTTTGAAACATCTCTTCCTATATCATCTCATCTTTCTCATCTCATCCCAACTTATCTCATCTCAATTTAACTCATCTCATCTCAACTAATCTCAACATATCTCATCTCTTCTCATCTGATATCAGCTGATCTTATCTCATCTCATCTCATCTCAAGATATCTAATCTCTTCTCATCTCATATAATCTCATCTTATTTCATCTCATCCCATCTTATCACAACTTATCTCATCTCAATTTAACTGATCTCATCTCATCTCATCTCATCTTAACATATCTCATCTCATCTCAACATATCTAATCTCTTCTCATCTAATATCACTTCATCTTATCTCATCTCATCAATCTTATCTCATCTCATTTAAACTCATAGCATCTCATCTCATATAACCTCATATTATCTCATCTCATCTAATCTCAACCCATATAATCTAATCTAATCTAATGTCATCTCCTCTCATCATATCTTATATCAGCTCATCTCGTCTCATCTAATCTAATCTGATCTAATCTCACCTGATCTCATCTACTTTCATCTTATCTTATCTCATCTCTACTTATCTCAGCTCATCTCATCCCATCTTATCACAACTTATCTCATCTCAATTTAACTGATCTCATCTCATCTCATCTCATCTTAACATATCTCATCTCATCTCAACATATCTAATCTCTTCTCATCTAATATCACTTCATCTTATCTCATCTCATCAATCTTATCTCATCTCATTTAAACTCATAGCATCTCATCTCATATAACCTCATATTATCTCATCTCATCTAATCTCAACCCATATAATCTAATCTAATCTAATGTCATCTCTTCTCATCATATCTTATCTCAGCTCATCTCGTCTCATCTCATCTAATCTGATCTAATCTCACCTGATCTCATCTCCTTTCATCTTATCTTATCTCATCTCTACTTATCTCAGCTCATCTCATCCCATCTTATCACAACTTATCTC